GCAGGGGGGGAAATCTAACAATCATGTTTATGGTAAAAAGAAAATACACATGAGATTGAAATTGCATCACAAACTGTTGCAAAACAACAACTTATAAAAGTAGTTAGGGTACTTATTTTAGCTGTGAGGGTTAATTTGCCTCCAAATCATGTTGAAGTGTAACTATTTCTGTATTTTACATTGCTTAACTCAGCGACATTTGTCACTGCATCTGGACTGCTATTTTCAGGGAGACTTCGAGAAAAGTAAAGGGCATTTTTGGTTCTTTCAAGAAACTGAGAAAGAGCTCATTTAAAAATATGTTACTCCTGCAAGGGCTTTTGTTAAGTGCAACATACACAGTCTGTCAATGCAAAAATGACAGGTTGTGGTAACTCATGTAAGTTTACAAGGTGAACCATGAACCCTATGGTAACCGTTCTACTGCACATAGTTTTTTAGGGTTTTCTTTTCCTTTTTAGTCCTACAGTATTTTCATGCAGTTTGCAGGTATGCTCATAGGCTTTTCTGTAACTAGATTTATTGTATGTGTACAGTGAAATTCACCTCCTGTGCAGAGGGTCAACCCAAAACCTATGGACTACTTATGTTCCATGAGACTGCACAGAGATGAATTTCACCTATGGACTTTTACTTGAAACAGCTGCTTTGCACGCAGCATTCACGCTCTGCTCCCAGTCAGGGGATCCATCATGTGCTTTATACCCTCTCATGCACGGAGTCTGATTTTTCACATTGTGAGGTCTGCTGTTAGAAACACAAACACTGGGAGCCCAGGCATCAATGACATAACACAACAAATGTGTAGTTCGAACAGCCATGTTTTCAACACGCAGGTCACTCCAAAGTATTTGAGACACCTAATCTTCTTTTCAGGGGGTTTCATTTCAATGTGTTTTACACTGGGAAGGAAAGAATTTGTTGGAAAATTGTCTTATTGCAATTCATATCTGACCATAGATATCAATACTGTTCCCTTTTTGAGTCACCTAGCCTTTTTTGTTTGGACTGGCACAGACTGCCCTCTGGACCATACAACAGTCTTGTTTGCTGAACATTCACCTCATCTTTAGGTGAAATTAAAGAAATGAATAAACTTTAATTTGAAACTTCTGCAATGACTACTAGCAACCCTATCATAGACCTGATGCCAGGATTAAGAAAATTAGTCAATGTGCATAATTTAGTTGCCTTTAATTCTTTTCTTGTTCTGGATCATGCAAAAAGCGTCAGATCTGTTTGTTAGTTAGCCATGTTTGTTACTATAGCGATTTCTTTTTGGTGCGCTAAGACATTCCTAGTAAAAACAAATTAATGGCAATGCCCACGTTTCATTTATTAGAAGGGCCAGATTAGGCCTTGCCCTTCACAGCACATCCGCAGGAGTTGAGTAGAACAGAAGGTTACATTTTCAAGGTAATACAATGCTGCTTAGATGGCTAATGAAGTAGAGAATCTATTTCCCTGCAATTACTGTGCTCAATGTTTATCCCCGACAGTAACATATACACCCTTAGGAACAACCTGGTGCTCCTTCATTGGATTGTCAATGGGAAACTTATGAAACTTCAAAGAGAAACTGAACACTCTGCCCTCAGTAGTTTCCTTGAAAGCTGTAGGCAATTGCATTATGATGGAATCCCTTTGAGTGTTATTAAAAGCAAACTAATTATTGAATGAGTTACTAAGTTTAGGTTTATAAGTTTGGTTTCAGCAGATGAGCTTTCTTCCCCAGTTCCTCTCAGTGATGGAGAGATGTGTTTTTTACTTCGTAAAGAAAGCCAAATCGCTGATGTATTCTGTCTGCTAAATCTCACCGCCAATTGTTGTGCAAACAATTTGCTTGAAACAAAACACCTGTCTGCACTAATCTACTGTCTATTTGCATTTATTGTCATGGGATCCTAATTTTTGCTTTTTAAAATGATCTTCATTGCGCCACTTTCTTTTCTTGTAAAGTTTGCCCCTAGCTGCACTGCAGATCAATATGGAACTCGCTAAAGGATAGCTTGTTTCACAGTACTTCAAGTATAGAAAAACTGACCATAATACCAGCTAAATTAAATAAACCAAAAGATAAAATAGATAGCAGGAGAGTTAGAATTCATACAGAAATATAATGTAATGTCTGGGGGTGGGGGGAAATGGGAGGTAGCTACAAAACTGAAACAGTGAAGTGACAAACAGAAATATTGATTAGAAAACAACCAACTTTCACTGCATACTGTACATTAAAATTAAACGGAAAATTCACGTCAGAAAGGAGTATGCAGGTCACAAAAGCCAAAGGGCTAGAGGGAAATGAAGGAATGTTTGAACTTAGCAGTATGTTTAAAAATAATCATCAGTAATTGGGTTAATGCAGTTTGACAAAGAATGGCTTTGAATAAGAAAAAAGAAGTACTGAAGCAAAGGACAAATGTATGTCAACATAGTACAGGTAACACTGATTGCACAAGAACACTTTCAATATCTTGAAAGAATATGCCTATATATCCAATATATGTATAATATATATGCAAAATATATACACAAATCTAAATTATGTATGTATATATGTACACATAGGCAGTTCTGTACATATGTATATGCGAACATTAATGCACATGACTGAATTTTGCCACATTTCAGCATCCAGGTGAATTTGGGCACAACCAAAAAGGTTGCTGCTGTACAAACCTACAATTCTATATTTGATTACTGAGAAGTAACAGTGTAAAATAGGTTCAACTAACTCCCAAGCGGCTTAGACCCAGCTGTAATTACATCAGCATCACAAAGTGAATCCAACCTCTGAACATTTCTGGTACATAAGACGAAATTAAATAATACACAATCTCAGCACAACCATATTCTTTTGCTTCCCAGCCCATCCACTAATCAAGAACTTGACGAGATCACTACACGTCTCCTCTGACATAGGGCTATCCTTCTGGAAGAGGAACTGGAGAGATGGGTAATTGCATTAAAGCTCCAAATTATTCAGTAATTCTGTAAAGCAAGGGTTGATTACTGTCCTTACATATCAATAGTGTTCTGGGAAAAGGGACAGTGTATAAAAAAGGGATCCCCCCCTAAAAAAGGGAACACGAGGCAACCCTAGCACAGCACAATCCAACAAGAGAAACACATTGATCTGTGGGATTTCAAGTTTTAGGATGTAGAAGGTAACATTTCCATAAAGCTGGCTTGCCTCAAAACTCAGAAGAGTACTGGCCTCTCAATCCAAGCCTGTTTTGATCTGAAACTTGAATGGCCAATTGGTCTTCAACCGTGTATCTCCAAGTGCCAGACTAGAGCAGAAAGAAAGTCCTGGAGGTTCTAAACAAAAGAGAACTTCAGATAAATAATTCTACATCTCAGCAAGGCTGGCATTTCCTTTCGATCTGAAAAGCTGTTCGTTGTTCTCAGAGCAGAGATTCGTTTTTAGTGCTCCGCGTCCATAGCATCTAAGTATTTTGCTTCAATGATCCTAGGAAGCAGGTTATACCTACGAGTGAACAGAGAGAATTAGATTCAGGTTAGTGCTGCAAGAAGGGTTATGCTCATCCTTTTCCAGGCTCTTCAGAGCTGGGTGTGTCTGGGGCAATTCATGCAACTTGCTGATTTACATCAGGTTTGTGAAGCTGGAGGGAAAACACAGCCATGTTTGCTCACATCGCGGGAACCCCTGAAACAGCAGTGTTGCAAAGAATTGCCTAGAACAAACTACCCTCAGCTGTCAGGGCAGCATCTCCACCATGGCCAGTGCTGGTGCTCCCTCTCCCCTCTGAAGGCGGCAAGGATGGAGTGGAATGTTGGCCTCGCCCCCACATCTGTGTCCCTGGCTGGTTTGGGGGAGGCAGCTGACCAGCTTTTGATTGGTCGAAACAGAACATAAATAGGCCTGAGGAGCTGATGTGTTCAGGAGGGGTCTAGCTTTCCTAGAACGTCATTTCCCTCTCTAATGTCTGGTGTTCAAAAGTCACAAAGCAGGACCCAAAACATCATGAGACTGGCTTAAAACAGGATGCCATTTCAAATAAAAGAATACGTTTGAGTTCCTTTTACGAGAACCCAAATAAACAAAAGTCATTAAGATTCTCAGACACTCAATGCCTCCAAGAGCTGGGGCTTTAAGAAAACACACCAAATATTGCTCGTGAGTGCTAGCACCACTGCTTTTACAGTCACTCGTCTTTTGCTTCTACCCACTTCACTGTGTTCTACATGTCTTGTCCCTGTGAGGTCTTTGCGGGAGGGACTGCCTTATTCCATGTTCCAACCAGGACCCCATTGTGCCGGGCACGGTACAGATTGGGGCCTCTGGAATCTACTTTTATACAACATAATAATAACGGTATCTTCTTTGAGTGAAACAAACACTAAGTGACAACACAGTCAACATTAATAAACTTTCTCCTTAATATATTCTACTGGATATTTGTAGATTAATCCTCTGCTTCCTCAACAGCACAGGAAGTTACTTTTCAGCTATTTAAATAATAAAGACAACAATGTAATAAGCCTGGTTTAGATTTAGAGCTCCTCAATTGGTAGCCAGGAAAGGAGATTTCAAATCTCACTAACTGCAGCGCAATGTCCTAAACTCCTCAAATTGATCCGACATGAGATAAACACTGGAAAACGAAAACATCCTGGAAAACACAAACTCTGTTTGATCTACATTCAATTCATGTTGTGAAACACAAATGATTGTGCAAAGAGGAAAAGGGATGCTTAAAATACTCTCCTATCCATGGGGATACAGTGCCAGAGAAGTCATGTTTAGTCAGCAGCATCCATGCTTCCCCAAAGCTCTGACCCTGCTAAGAATTGAGAGAGGTCACATTTTCTCCGGATGGAATATTCCATTACAGCCAGGGTAGAGTCTCCCAAAAATAATTACTCCTGGGGGCATTCTGCGCCAAAACATTAAAAATTCTGCGCACAATATTTTAAAATTCTGCAAAACTCTGCAAATTTTATTGGTCAAAATAACACTACATAATCACACCGGTTTCAATTATTTTGGTAAGTTATTTCAAAATACCTGTCAGCAAGTATGTCTGTAAGAACATGGACACACGCAAAAATTCCCCCAGGAGTAGAGAGTTAAAGAAACCCCCTATGCCAACCCCTGTTTCTCTGCCCTCTTCTCCCCACCAGAGTCCAGCCATGGGGCCAGACACCCATACCTCTCCCCACAGAGCTCAACTGTGGGTTCCCGAGCCAAGGGATCTGGAGGGAGAAACACCCTGATGCTTGGTCCCAGGCTCACACAGAGTTTCCTGCATGCTGCCCTCGCCTTCCCTCAGGGCATGCTGGGAACTGCAGCTGCCAGGAACCCTCTAGCTCCTTCTCCCTCCCCCCAGCAGCGTCTTCTATGTGCGAGCTGGGCTCTGCCAAATCCAATGGCCCCTACTGGCACTGCAGCCCATTTCTGTGGGGGAAAGGAAATTCTGCGCGCACAATGTTAATTTCTGCAAAATTCTGCTGGGACTCACTGGATACGGATTCAGTTCCCAGCTCTGCCAAACACTCCCCGTGTGACACAATCTCCCTTCCACTTCCTTATCTATAAAATGGGAACAATACTTCCCCTTCTCCTACCCCCATGTCTGTCTTGTCTATTTAAATGATCAACCATGTGGGGGCAAGGACTGTCACTTATTATGTGTCTGTGCAACACCTAGCACAACAGGGCCTCGAGTCTTGGTTGGGGACTCTCAGCAGCAGGGTGGGTTGATTTAAAGCATGATTTCAAGCACCGAGTGGAAAGCTTTCATTTAATTAATCAATTTTAATCAACTTTTCCATTTGTATTTCAGTTATTTTCTAAAGCAGGGGTCGGCAACCTTTCAGAAGTGGTGTGACGAATCTTCATTTATTCAGTCTGATTTAAGGTTTCGCGTGCCAGTCAGACATTTTAACATTTTTAGAAGGTCTCTTTCTATAAGTTTATAATATATAACTAAACTATTGTTGTATGTAAAGTAAATATGATTTTTAAAATGTTTAAGAAGCTTCATTTAAAATTAAATTAAAATGCAGAGCCCCCGGACCGGTGGCCAGGACCCGCGCAGTGCGAGTGCCACTGAAAATCAGCTCACGTGCCGCCTTCGGCACGCGTGCCATAGGTTGCCTACCCCCGTTCTAAAGAAAGGAGCACGCTCACTGGTTGATATAACCATTAAAACATGTTGATGTACAGCTAAATAGAGCCTTTAAAGTAGATTTGGTACATCTTTTTGCCACTCAGAAGGGTTCACTGTTACTATGTACATTTATTTAAGCAATTATATAGCTTAGTATGTTCAGATTCGTATCAATTGTACATTTGTGTAAGTTAGAAAATGGTCAACGATGGGTGAAGCCATAAATATTCATAAGCCTTTAATACAGCACATGTCCTATTGTGCCATATTCATCAAGATTGGCTTCAAAAGTTGGATATTTATCCTCTGGTTCTCTCTCTCTGTAGGAAAGCAGCCTTTAACTCAAAAGTTTTTGATAGAGGCTCATGGATTCAGCATATTTAATTTTTATTTAAATGTTTTGATTATAAGAAGTTTAGACCTTAACATATTTTGTATTAAATTCAGATTTCATGGTAAACAGGTTTATTTTGTCAAGAAAAACATTAAATTTAAATAAATTTAAATAAAAAATCCAATCCCCCCCCCAAGAAAAACCATCTGTTTTTATTCACCCTGCTCAGCCCTGCTGTAACACTAACTAACGAGGACAAAAATTCAGGACACAGAGAAGTAACGGTTCTCACAGTTACAAACTTGCTCTGATTGCACATACTGAAGTATCCATCTTGCAGTCTAAGCAGTAATCCCTAATATTGTCTATGTGCAGTGTGAGATAGTGAATGTTGCTATGAGAATTGTAACTTGGAGTGCAGGGGACTGGACTAGATGACCTCTCAAGGTCCCTTCCAGTCCTATGATTCTGCAATTCCTATTTTTTTTAATATAGTTAAACAATGTAACATCGATGTTGTTGTATGTGGGGGTTTTGTTGTTTTTTGCAATCCAGTCCCCTCCCCCCTTCTAATTAAAGGAAAGCAAAACATATGCAGGATAACATTTAAATGATTTCACTTCCATTTTCAATCCATACCTCGCTCTACTGTGAGCTGTTCTCCTGACAGCAGGGCTAGATGTCAAGGTGGTACAAACACCTGTGGACGGTCTGCACTAGTGTTCCCTGTATTACTGTAACGCCCAGTTGTCAGCAGGCGGGATCGAACCTGGGACCTCTGGAGCTTAGTGCATGAGCCTCTACCACGTGAGCTAAAAGCCAACTGGCTGTTAGCTAAGGCTGTAGAGCAGACTCATTTTACCTTTACTCATTACGAGGAGAGGCTGAGGGAACTGGGATTGTTTAGTCTGCAGAAGAGAAGAGTGAGGGGGGATTTGATAGCAGCCTTCAACTACCTGAAGGGGGGTTCCAAAGAGGATGGAGCTTGGCTGTTCTCAGTGGTAGCAGATGACAGAACAAGGAGCAATGGTCTCAAGTTGCAGTGGGGGAGGTCCAGGTTGGATATTAGGAAACACTATTTCACTAGGAGGGTGGTGAAGCACTGGAATGGGTTACCTAGGGAGGTGGTGGAGTCTCCTTCCTTGGAGGTTTTTAAGGCCTGGTTTGACAAAGCCCTGGCTGGGATGATTTAGTTGGGAATTGGTCCTGCTTTGAGCAGGGAGTTGGACTAGATGACCTCTTGAGGTCCCTTCCAACCCTGAGATTCTATGATTCTACCTCTCTCCTAAGTGGTCTCGGTGCCACTAGATGGGACAGAACACCACACCCAGGCGGTGTGGGGGTTACATTAGCACCAGAGGTGACGCACTGTTGTTACCGCAACCAAAAGAGAATTACCTAACATTTTCATTTAGACACAGCCACTGAGGGGAAGGGACAGGAGATGTTCACACATGTACTGCGTCATTGTCTGGCTGGAGGCATTGCCTGGAAGGCTGGGTTAAGTGACCAGCAGCTCATATGGAAAAGCAGCAATTAAGGGCAGCAACAGAAAACGACAGTCATCCAGAGCCTAATCCTGATCCTAATGGAGACCATGGCAGTTTTGATGTTCCCTTCAACGGGGACAGGATTGGGCCATTAGTTTCCACCTTTGACACACACTGTTCATTTGCAATCTTTTTCTTGCAGATTCTCCGAGCAGCCCCTGTGTCTTTTGGATCAGGTGGGAAATGCTGCCTTGTAATGCATCAAAGGCAGCAGGGCATCATTAAACTGCTACAATGCTGGCCAATGCCCAACAAGCATGCTGAGAAGTGATTTTTAATAGCTTATTACTGTTTGATGTTTAATTCATTTCCCACCAAACCTAAGAAAGGACAGAATACGAAAGAGGGCGTCGGTCAATTGTTTTATTTAATGAGTCAAAAAACCCCAACTCCTACATCGCTGAGAAAATGAATTTCTTTCACTCACTAATGGCCCCTAAAGCATCAAGGGAGTCTCCCGAAATTTAGACCAATCCCCCCGCAAAAAAACAAATCACTTCTGGGCCACTATGGCAAATTTCAGCCAATTGTGAACACATGCCAATGTAATCTTAACACAAGGGAGCACTGCACAGGAGACTACTGTAATTGTGCAGAGGTTTGAAGCTATAAAGCACTAAGTTAACCCTAAGAGTTCTTTAGGAGAACATTCGTTACTGTGTGTAACAATTCTGCTGAGAGTAACTAGTTACAGGTCAAGCTGGGGTGCTGCATGCGTAATCTAGGACATTACAGGTTGAAGATTCAATCACAGCTTTACCCCAATCAAGGGATTGTCATACTACTCCTAGAGCAGACCAATCTGCCTTCTGCGTTCCTCCTTGCTTCTGTGCTACAGTCTGTCTTGGTCATGGGTGGCTTTCACTTAGATATCTTAGCTGGTGTATATGGTTCCAAGGCTCCCTGCCCCACACCACCTTGGGAAGTCCTGAGAAAGATCCCATCCACCGCACACTGCTAGTCATGATCCTGGTAGCTGGTTCCAGGGGAGCAAGTTGGCACCTTGTGTGACCACTCAAGCCAGTGCAGAATATGGCACAGGATCACAGAGAAATTGAAGGGCGAGTCTACACTACAGTGCTACATGGGTGCAGCTGCGCCATGTAGCGTGTCTGGTGAAGATGCACCATGCCGATGGAGGAGCGCTCTCCTGTCACCATGACGACTCCACCTTGGCAAGAAGCGTAAGCTACGTTGGCAGGAGAGTGTCTCCCGCCGACATAGCGCTGGTGTGGACAGCGCAAAACTTGCATCGCTCAGGGAGTGCGGGGGCTTTTTCACACCTCTGAGCAATGTAGTTTAGATCAACTTCAGTAGTAGTGTACACCTGCTCTAAGTAGTATGTAGTTGCCTAGTCAGAAGCCAAACCGCCTGGCCACTCAGTGAGGTGTCTTTGGTACAGAGAGCGTCTTACCTGATCGGGATCATTCCTATCATAATGAGAGGAAAAATCATCTTCATGTACGGTAACGGTGACATCCCAAACCCACAGAGGATGAGGAGCTGAAGAACCTGTAGGCCTGTGAAATAATGGATCTTCCTCTGAGGGACCCTGCGGATGTAATGCGTCGGGGGGTAAGCCGTCTGTGAACGAGAGAAGAGGTATGCGTCAGGCAGCAATAGACAAATCAGTCCAGGTGGGAAGAAAGTCTAAAAAGTGTGCCCATTAGAGACATTATTTTAGGGAAACCATCAACACACAGCTGTAAGCGTTCATATCACACATCAAGTCAATGGGTAGATATCAGAAATACACAAATGGCACTGCAGATGTTGAAGGACTTTCTAAGCGGAGTACTGGCCCGTTCCTTAAGCCAACAGGGCTGAATTGGGGATTTCTAGGGTTAAAGCTAATACTGGCAACAGAACACAGAGAATGACTGGGCAATAAAAAAGGGGGGAAAACCAGAGATAGACTCGCCTCGAGGAACATCTGGAGCACAAGAAATACTGATCTAAATGCCATAATTAGATTCCCCTGTGTATGATTAGCAGCACTTTGTAGCAACATGTAAAATATCCGGGGGGGAGGGAGAGTGTGTGCATCATGTGGTGATGCTATGTTAGGCAGATCTGTTTGCGTGCTGCTCCCATTTCAGTTTGTTTTCTATGTTTTTATCATTTGCGAACTTGCCATCTTCTCTTTAGGGGGCAGACTTCAGCCCAATCTGAGATCGAGCAACTGTGGAACTTAGCTGGGGAGAGGATAGAAGAGACCCCACACAAGGAGACGGCAATGTAGCGTGAGTAGGAGTGACTATCCGCTGATGCGGATATAGACGAATGGATCTAGGATCACAGCACCAGTTATGCAGGTTTCCTAACCTAGATACAACAGGCTAATCTGTACTAAAACAGATATTATTTGTTATTTGTGTATCATAGCACCTAAGAGCCCCATCACGGGCCAGGACCCCATAGTGCTAGGTGCTGTACAAACACAAAATAAAAAGACAGTCCCTGCCCCAAACAGCTTACAACCTAAGTATAAGACAAGAGACAACAAACGGAGTACTCTGCATACAATATCCATACCCATTCTTTACTTACAAATGAGTATATTCAATCAATGGAATCTACAGTACCTGTGATATCCTAGGTAGCAGTGGGTTTCAACAGATGCCAAATAAAATTAGGAGACTGTTTTTCCATTAGGACCAAATCCTGGGCTCAACTGAAATCAACGAGAGTGTTGCCAGTGAAAAAGAGTTACTAACCTTCCGTAACTGTTGTCCTTTTGGATGGACGTGTGCAACACATCTCCATCTTGGTGCATATGCAATCTGCACAAAGTCGTTGGAAATATTTCCCTCTGGTACCCATCCAGGCAACTCAAAGGCCCTCTGCTATGGTGCGCCACTGTGTGCTGGTATAAAGGGCCCAGTCGCCCCAGAACCATCTCAGTTCCTTCTTTCTGGACTGCTCCAATGCAGAGGGATAGGAGGATGGGTTGTGGAATGGACATGGGCAATACATTTAGAAGAATACCAGTTACAGAAGGTTAGTAACCATTTCTTCTTCTTTGAATGATTGCACATGTGCATTCTATTCTCAGTGACTCAAGCCGTAAAGTAGGAGGAGGGATCCAAGTTCATGGACATACAGAATGGAGCACAACTTGTTCAAATTTAGCTTCACCTCTAGAGTATTGGATGATGGCATAATGGGATGCAAAGGTGTGAACTGAAGAGCAGTTTGCTGCTTTACAAATTTCCTGGATAGCGAACACACCAAGGCTACTTGTGATCTCTCTTATGTAATGTGCCGTCACTTTGCTGGGCGAGGAAATGCCTGTAAGATCATGACTTACACTAATGCAGGAGGTTACCCAAGATAAAGTTCTTTATGAAGAGACTGGGAGACCCTTCATTCTGTCTGCAATGGGTCTGAATTTGGGTTGACAAATGGAACTCTTTAGTTCCGTCTATGTAGAGTGCCAAAAATCTCTTAACACCTAGAGTATGCAGGCATTGCTCCTCTCCATTGGAGTGTCATTTTGGGGCCAAAGATAGGTAAGTAAATCAACTGGTTAATATGAAAATTAGATACCACTTTAAAGAGAAATCTTGGATGAGGGTGCAAATATACTTCAAACCTTAAAGAAGACTGTATAAGGCGATTTGCCCACCTTCCTGCATGCAGCTCAGCCACCTTCCTGTCCGAAGCGATAGCTACCAGAGGCTCAAATGGAGGCCTCATGAGCCTGGACAAAACTAGGTTCAAGTCCCAGGGCAAAGGAGAGGTTTCCTTATCTGAGGGTACAACCTTTCCACGGCCTTCAAAAATCTGATTGTCATATCGTTAGAAAATACAGAACAGTTGTCCATATGGAGATGAAAAGCTGATATTGTTGCCAAGTGGACCTTGATAGAAGTAATTGCCAACCATGCTGTTTTAGATGCCATAGATAGTCCAGGATATGATGGATTGACGACTGCACTGGCGGAATCCTAGATTGACGAGACCAGATGGGAAAATGCTTCCACTTCAACATGTAAATAGACCCGGTGGAGGGCTTTCTGCTATTTAACAAGGCATTGAGACTTTGCTCCAAGCAAGGCTCCTCTCTGGGATTTAGCCATGGAGCCTCAAAGCAGTTAAAAGAAGTGCCCACCAGTTCAGGTGGAGCAGCCCACCATGATCTCGGAGATCCAGGAGAACGGAGAACTAGTCTGCTGGGGCTATTTGGAGGTACTAGTATAACCCAGGCATGGCCTTGTTTGATCCTTAGCAACACTTTGTGTAGGAGAGGAATTGCAGGAAAAGCATATGAATCTGATATTCTTTCTGTGAGCTTGATAAATTGCCACATGAAATCAGGCATCTTTTAAATGAAGGACGGCAAACCAGTCTTCAGGATGGGAATAATGGAAGCCGGGGTGACCATGCAAAACCTTTATCCTTTCGAGAAATCTGTTGAGCTGGAACAGGTCTAAAATGGGTCTGATACCTCCCTTCACTTTAGGGATTAGGAAATAACGGGAAGAGAACCCCTCCCCTCTGAGACACTGCAGAACCTCCTCCATGGCTCCTACCCAAAGGCGTGACTGAACACCTGGAGGAGGAGATCCTCGGAAGAGCATCCCCTGAAGAGGAATGGGGAGGGGCAGAAACCAAGTGAGGGTATATCCTACGTCCACAGTGCTTAATAGACATCAGTCCAAAGTCATCTAGGACCAAGCCCTGAGGCAGTGGGAAAGGCAGTTTTCGAATATGGGGAAGATGGAACCTGGCATTCTGAAAGTTGGCATGGCGTTCTGTAGTGACCCACCAAAATGCCGGTTTAGCACCCCCTGGGTGTCTGGAGGGAGCAGGTATTGATGCAGAGGCAGAAGGAGGTGGTGGTCTGCATCTATAACCCCCACTCTTCTCTCTCTGCAGGTCCTGCCGAAGTGCAGGGGAAGAGTAATGATGGGTCTGCTGCAGGCAGAAATGTTTTCTGGATAGCTATGGAGTGTACAACCCCAAAGACTTTAAAGTCGCCCCAGAGTCCTTCAAACCATGGAGCTTAGAGTCTGTTTGCACCAAAAACCAGTGATGACCCTTCGAAGGGCAGGTCTTGTAATGTCTGTTGGACGTCTTGTGGAAGCCCCGAGGACAGTGCCCAGTAGCTCCTGAGCATGGACACCACTGAAACCACAGTCCTACCTGCCAAGTCTGCTGCATCCAGTGCTTCCTGCAGCAAAGTTCTTGCTACAGATTTCCCCTTATTAACGAACAAGGAGAATTCCTGATTAGGGTCCTCTGGCAGCATGTCCCTAAACTTTAACACGCAGTCCCAAACATTAAAATCATAATGTCCCAAAAGAGCTTGTTAGTTGGCAATCCCGTCTTGCAACCCCCAGTAGAATAAACTTTTCTGCCAAATAGATGATCCTTAGCAGGGTAGCAGCGCCTTGATGGATAGCGGCAAGAGCAGCTCTGAGGCTGGGAAGCACAGGCGCCAATTTCCGATCCCGAGGAGGACGAGGCTCCCTCTGCTGGCCAAGGACAGGCTGCTCCTGGTGGTGCTGAAGACTGGTGGCGAGTCAGAGAAGAGCAGCGCACTGCCAGCACTGCAGGCTTCCCCTTCGCTGATACCATCAGGTATGATGTCTGAGGCAATGGATTTTGTAGTGGTACTGAGCACTGCACTGACAATACTGGTGTCTACTGGTACCGACTGCATGGTCTCCTGCACTGCCGGGGAAACCAGTTCCAATAGGTTCAGCAGACCTCTCACTGCCACAGACGCCACCAGAGTGGTAAGTTCAAAGATGGTCTCGGAACGATGCAGTACTGCAGACATAGAAGGTGCTCCATCAGGCCCTGAACTAGATGGTACCTATGGAGTCAATGGTGCTGGTTTCTGTGGTATCAGAGGAGTGCTTGGGTTTCAGCTGCACTCTATGCTTATCCCAAGCCTAGAGAATTTTGGTGCCAGTAACCTTCCTTAATGGTGATCTGCTGAGAGGCCGTACGCCTCTTCTTAGGCATGGGGAGAGTGAGGAGTGCTGGGTCTTGGGCAACATAGAAGACTCCTAACCAATGATGAAGCAGTCACTGCTGAGTCCAAACAGCTGGGCTCTGCCAGAGGTCTCAGGGCTGCTGGCATGCGCATAATCTTTAGCCTGGCTTCTCTGTCTTCCCTTGTCCTAAACTTAAAGTCTTTGCAGATTTGGCAGCAACCTCAAATATGAGCTTCCCCTAAAGAATTCAAGCAGCTTGAGTGTACATTGGCCTAGTGCAGGAAATGCAGGGTACCCTTTGGTACCAAGAAATGGAAACCCCAAACTGGGAACTGAAAAAGAAACAAATCCCATCTACACTATGAACGAAGGACCACTCAATTAGAAAACGATTTACAATGAGCACACAGAGCACGTGCTAAGGCAAGCCAAGAACTTCCAATGACAACCCCGGGCAGTAAGAAAGTTCTGAGGGGTTTCTTGGACCGCTGGACACAGTGGCGCACGGCAGCAGAGTGCTCTTGAGCTACCCCATGGGTACCACTGAAGGAAAAATTTCCAACAACTGTGAGCTGGGCACGTGCTCACCAAGAGTGGAACACGCATGTGCAATCTCTTGAAGGACAACCATAATTTGGCCCTTATTACAATACCATAATGTATAAGGTGGAGATTCACATTACTACTTGTTGCTGTCTAACCTAGTGACTGGCTTTGCTTCTGTCCTGTTAACATCAGCAGAAGAACTAAATGGAATTTCTGCTCCACTTTGAAATTTGTTTCCATCCTGGATCGGAAAACCAAAATTTCCTGCTTAATAAAAATTCCAAAAAATGTCTGTTCAGGACCATCAAAATGTTTCCCATAAGGTAAAAACGTTTAATCGCAACTTCATCATTTTGATTTATTGTGTGTCAATGTTTAGCGGATATTAAAATATAACATATATAAATGTAATATAATATTAAAAACAATATTTTAACATGTCAATATTGTTATAATGCAATGAGAAAGTTGAAATGAATCATTTCCACTTTTTCCAGATGAAAATTTGGTCAAAGTCAACATGCCCCTGAGAAGCAGTGCGAATTCGGCAAAACTGCATTTTCCAATGGAAAACTATTCTACTGAAAAATTGTCAATGGATTGTAATCGGTAGCTTTCTGGAATGACAGTCTACCTTGGAAGTCAACTGCTTATCAGCTGTGAAATGTAATTGGTTTCTAAAAATACTCTATTAGCAGGCGAACTGAAAAGCATTTTCACATGCCACGACCTGAGATAAGGGTTCTTTTTCCTCTCTTGCAATAACTGATAACTTCACTGAACAAGGCAGGGATATCTTCTGTAGCTGGGGAATGTAATTCTGAACTCAGGACATGGTGAGTAAGTGAAGGAGTAACTAATTTTTCACCAGCGAGCTTTAAACTGCATTTGTTTAGTTTAGACTTGCACAAACTGAACATTTCTAGTCACGATTTGAGATTTTAAACCTTTGTTTTATAAAAAGAAAAATGTTTCACTATGCCATTGGCTTCACTCGCTTCTCAAATTCATTGTCATTATACACCTGGTATTTTATGGGATTTATACACCATACAGATATTATCCCTGTATGTAGACACTGTGGCTGGCTTTTAAAATATACGTTCCAGATATTTTACAGTCAGAGGGTAGAAATAGATTAATACATGCAAATCTATTTAATGGTATTGTTCAAGCATTTATGGCTTGTACTCTGCAAACACTTCAGGGTTTGTCTCCAGCAGGAGTAACAATATAAGGTCCTTTGGAGCCCATTTCTCCTGAGGTGAAAGATAAGCACATTAAAGCTCGGTCACTTCTGTGCAAAACTCACAGAAGGGAAAAGTTGCTTGGGAAGTCCCATGTAACTGACTCTTCGGAGTCCCCCAGGCTGGAATGGGGTATTTTAAAGGCAACAAATAGAAGAGTTTAAGTAATTTATAATACAGATAAAAGAAAACAAGGGCAACAGGAAAAACTGTACCAACCAATGCTAAGAACCAGGGAACTAATGGGTGAACCATAACTATTCAGTCACGGAGGTGTTTTTGAATGCTGCATTCCCCTCTTTGTTTACTCTGACTGCAAGTTCTTTGGGCAGGGACTTGTCTTACTCCTGGGGTTTGGCATCCTAAGCATGCAGAGCTTGAGGCTCCATGGGGAACCGCACTCCCAGCACCACAGATTTCCAGCATGCAGAGATGTTTATACATCTGCCTGAACTGAATGTGGGTCAAGTCAATATTATTGTTTGTATTACAGTAATACACAGATGCCTCAGTCTGGATGAATGTCCTATCCCGCCAGATGCTATTGAACCCAAAGAGAGATGGACAGTCCTTGTGGCAGCAAAGAGCTTACAATCAGGGTGTTCCTCGCTTTTACGAGCACTAGTTTCACTCTTTTTTTAATAGAAAAAAAATAAAGTTACTGGCTAACCGTTGCCCTGAGGAATTTTCACTGGGAGCCGCATGCTCATGGCTGAGAGCCGGGTTCAACTCACTGTCTAACGTACACCAAGAGGTACTATAATTCTGAACGTTTTGGGGGTAAATTAAGTGCAAAGGGACTCAAACATGCCATCCCCATTCGTTATGAGAAGGGGTGAGTTCAAGGTCCAAAGAGCTTGTGCCTTGTTTGCCAACCTGCAAGGAAGTAAAAACCACACAACAAACATCAACACAAAATGAGGGTGTGATGCAAAGGCAGGCAATAAAAGCGCCTTCATGTATCAAGCGAAGGAGAGGAACCTAAGGTTTTTGAAGCACCCTTCCTGTCAGGGTTAATGGCGAGCCTGTCAGGAATCCTGTGGTGGCCTATTGCCCTGTAATTATTATGGTGGCCGCACGCACAAGACAGCTTATATAGGGCGTGTGGTGTGTGGGGAGGATGGCTTGGGGAAGGAGGAGGCTAAAACACACATAATCATGGACGATTTAATGGCAATGTTTTGAAGCTGTAGTAATCAACTCATTATATGAGTTTCCTCAGGAAACAGAGTGCAAGGCGCTATTTCTTGTTCCATATCCTGTGCAGTAAATTTCCAGTTCCAGGACGACTCTCTATACCTGTTCTTTCAGCAAGAGGGCCACCCTCTCGAAGAGCTGATTCCCATCAATGGAGGTCAGGGCGATGTACAAGAAGAGGCCATAGAGGACTGGCTTCGGGATCCACTGCAGTGGGAAGGGCAGGAGGAAGAGCGAGAGACCCACCAAGAAGTTGGCCACCAGTGTAGTCAGTCGTGTCTCCTTCACGCTCACTATCCTGTAGGTGGGAGAAGACACACAGTGACCCGGAAGCAAAGACTGAGAAGGATAACGATGGGTCAACCCCCATGCTTACCGTTGGGGCTCACTCACACTGCTATGGGACATGTGTCATTCCAATTGAACAATCATCAAGTATCTCCAGCCAAATGCTAATATTTTCAGAAGACAGCAACCCTCTTGGACTCAGTCCAGGCATTTCGCCCACCACTCAAACAGAGCAGCTGGCTAAGTGCCAGGACCAAGTTTGCTTCTTTAATTTTCTGTCTCTACTCTGGTTTTCTCCCCAGCTCCGAGGATCCTATCTGAGCTTAAACTAAACGATTTAGTTATCTGCAGTTTGCTAAACAGAATCACTTTAAAACATGCTAGAGCCCCCTTTCTGCACGTTAAACCTTCCCAGCACTACCTGATTTGTGCATGTATGTTATTACACACATACATGCCCCTCTCTCCAAAAAGAAGTCAGGGAGCTGCTTCTGTGGAAACTCACTAGTGACCCACTTGAAAACACATTCTCCTGACTAAGTCGTCAGCATTTTTGATAAACACAAGAATCCCCTGGTTTATACACCGGGGAAAATGCTCAGAGAATTATGTAGGGAATTAGGAACTTAATCCTGTGGTGGCGTATGGGAGTTGCCATTAACCATGCTAAAAACATAACTACTTAATGCAAATTTCCAGAATTTGACAGATTTTTAGACTGACAGACCTGTCACTGGAAAAATATTGACAGGAAGTAAGAAAGGACAAAGTAACTTTAAAACACACTGTACAACACACAGTCTAGAAACATTCCCGAATGTGAAACACAGTGCCCTATGCAATAAGCCAACAAATAAGATAAGAAAAAAGGACATTGCTACCCTAAATGTGAGCAATCATGCCATTGGCCCACGTGCCTACCAAAAACCGCGAAAAAGGGAAAACTCCTCTCCCAGGATAATAATAATAAAAAAAAATATGGACAGTTTACCTGTATTTTTGTTTCCTTATAAGGAAATCTAACCACCAATCCAGAGGTTAACTGCTGGCAAAGGCCTGCCTATATCAGCACAGAAACAACTGGACTGAAGATTGTTTCGGTGCCTGTGAGTGGGGGAGCCCACACTAGTGGTAAACGGCCATGCCTCATGGTTAGCGGGAGGGAAGGGAACCCGGGTTCTCCCGCTCCACCAAGTTCCGACCAAGGGGCTCACTTGGGTAGCGTACGAAAAGTGTCAGGTACTCTCTGCATGGTCTCTTCCAACAACTCTGTCCCTCTTCTGGATATGTTGTGGCTTGCTTGTGGTTATCCCTTCTCACCTGGTCTATGGGCATCTACAGGCTGAGAAGTCACGGCTTCGTGCAGCTGCCCTCCTCCTGGGGACCCACCTTTATTGCAATGAGCGCAGCTCCTGTCCCTCTGCCTGCCACCCACTTGTGCTGAAGTGACTACTCCCTTTCAAATCCCTCCTCCAGCTAGAGCATACCCAGCAGGCCTGCCAGGGTGGGGCTACCTGGGCCCAGAATTGTTCCTGTGCCCGCCTCTCTCCATTGTGGGGTTTATATACCCCATCACTGCCATCCTGTGGTGACATTATCTGGATGTGGAACCTTGTATTCCAGATGAACTGCAACCAAGCTTCTGGTAACAAAGCATTTTAAAGTCACAGGAATGGAGATCCAATAGAACACATTTTTCTGTTTTATATACACACACATTTCTGGGGCTTTGCAATTCCTTCTGGCCTATAGGAGATTTCTTGCCCTGGGGGGTGGATCCTTTCCACACTGAATTCTTGTAAAAGATATATTATACAGACACTCCCTTACTGTAGGAGAGACTGAATTTCAAACCACCTATTTTATATAATAAATGCAAAAATGCAGCATTTAAGGTTGTGGTGAGATCCAGACTTAAATTCCTAAAAGTGAAGGCTTCTCGGGTAACATAACCTTCCATGCCAATAAATATAAACTGCAACCTGTTACTCTTTAACAAGGGGAAACAAATAGAAAATATTATACTTGAATAACATGGCAGAATTAAGATAGATCAGTTAGTTACAAGATCTAAAGAATAAAGCCCATCTATTAAAAGGGGGGAATGCAAAGTCTTTTGAAAGCCATGTTTAAGCTCCATGGATGAGTGATACAACAGATCCAGGATCAAACCTAAAAATGACAGAAGAGTCATCAAAAGGAATTACCCTTAATCTCCCAACTGCATTTGCACAGCAGAAATTGGAATCTGCTAACACTGGTCAAGACCCTCCTGCAAAACCTAGAACCACTGGCCAGATCCTCATGCAAAAATCCAGACTCCAAAGGGACAAGTTCGTCCCATTTTGCTATTTACAGATGATTTCCGCAAATTCTGTAAGGACCTTTGGAAGAATTGGGATGGCCAGCAATCAGTGAGGTGGATGGAATTCATTCCCCAATGGTGTGCATTCAGGCCTGGCTTGTTGTGGAACAAAGATCCTTGAGATGATGGACTCAGGCAAGCTGGAAGCATAACTGATTCTTTGATGGCTTGTGTCCCAGCATCAGTGACCATTCAGGAGCTTCTAGGACCAGTAACATTCTATTCTAGCCTCTCAGATGACCCTCTGTTAATAGTGAAACACGAGGGATGGAATATGTTAGTTAATTTGGCCTGTCCAGGAAAATACTGAATGTGCCTATTAAAAGTGCCCCAAGCTCTCTTCAGCAGACAGTATACAGTGGGAATTTATGTTTGATACAAACGGGTCAATTACTGGGCAGCCTCATGGTTCACAAATTTATCGGAATTGTTATTTTGAGCATTCACAAAGCGTACTAGGTGCCTCATAAGCCAAGTAAAAGAGAGCTTGCAACCTGACCTGGACATGACAGAGCCAGAGAGGGCATTCCAAAGGAGACCAGGTCAGAGAGGGAGATAGGGCCTGTGTGAATTAGAAAAGCGAGGGTAAGAGGTTTGAACTTTATGTGCAGAACTGGATTAGATGATTATTTTCAGAGCCAAGAGATATAATTCTACCCATCAAAACAACTTGAAAGTCTAGCAGGGTAAATATAGGCTCCTGGTCCCCTCTCCTGATGGTCTTAGGAACAGCGCTGATGGGTTTTGCTGGCGAAATTAGTGCTGTTAGGTACATGGGAAATGGTCTTGATGTGAGAAGTGCTGTGAATCTGCTTCTAGCTCTAGGACACTATTTGTAGGCCGCGCTCGTAGCACCGCTTATAGCAAAGTTTTCCTGACCAGTTGTCAGTTGCTTGCAACCTTGCCAGATTTCACCCATTTGGGCTGACATTTCCCATGCCGGGCGTCTTCCCTCACTTGCTGGAAGATTCTCTGCACCTTGAAGTATTTAAAACCATGATTTGAGGACTTCAATAGCTCAGACACAGGTTTGATACAGGAGTGGGTGGGTGAGATTCTGTGGCCTGCATTGTGCAGGAGGTCACACTAGATGATCATAATGGTCCCTTCCGACTTTAAAGTCTACGAGTCTATGAAGTTGAATTATTCTGAAAAGTTTCTGGAAGAAAGGTTCAACTGTTTCCAAGAACAAGATTAGGGAAAATATGTTGTACCCATGTCAGAAAAAAATTCTTACAATTGTTTGGTTGAGAAGCTCTAGCACTTCCATGCTTTGTAGCAAGGGCTTGAAATCTGGCCAGGCGAGGGGGAACAAGAGGGAATGTGCCCATTGCTGGCAAAATCTAACCAAATTTGTCCATTTTATAATAAAAAGCTCTTCAAAATCAGTTCACACAGGCTCTACAGAGACTTTTTAGAGTCTGGCAGCTAAGATTATGGCTTGTCATCAGCTGAGGAAATACAGGGAACTGGGGGAGACTCCAGAATATAATCTGAGCTCCTCTTCAAAGAATCCTTAAACCAAGGCTAGATCACCGGGTTCCTCGCTATATGAGACGTAGCACCTTGAATTAATTTAGCTACACGATCAGACTCCAAGGTTGGCCTGGATTAAACTCTGATGCAGATTTCTCCGCAGACAAGAAAGAGGACATTTTTTGCCCATTTCAGGGGAGGTTCTTGATTCTTGTGTTTACTTATCGGGGGTAGCCGTGTTAGTCTGTAGCTACAAAAACAACAAGGAATCTGGTGGCACCTTAAAGACTAACAGATTTATTTGGGCATAAGCTTTCGTGGGTAAAAACCTCATTTCTTTGTGTTTACTTGTATCCATCGTATTCTGAGTTTGTAGCTTGGTTTCTTTCAGAGAGCAAGAGGTAGGAGCTTTCCGTACCCAAAGGTGAACGACCCTTTTTTGATTTTCTACTTAAGCTTTGCTTCAGCTTCCCTCTCACAACAAGGCAGTTGAGGAGGAGGAAGACAACAATACATAGAGCCTCTTGTTTATAGTTTACAGCAGGGGTCGGCATCCTTTCAGAAGTGGTGTGCTGAGTCTTCATTTATTCACTCTAATTTAAGGTTTTGCATGCCAATTTTAACGTTTTTATAAGGTCTTTTTCTACAAGTCTATAATATATAACCAAACTATTGTTGTATGTAAAGTAAATAAGGTTTTTAAAATGTTTAAGATGCTTCATTTAAAACTAAATTAAAATGCAGAGCCCCCTGTACCGGTGGCCAGGACCCGGGCAGTGTGGGTGCCACTGAAAATCAGCTTGCGTGCTGTCTTCGGCACGCGTGCCATAGGTTGCCTACCCCTGGTTTACAGCTTTGTGAGGAACAAGAGATCTGGAATCTCCACGGGAGCTGTAGAAGGTAGAAAATACTCCCATTCCCCAGCATCCAGTTCAAAGTTGTCATTTATATATCTAAGCACCTCAGGGCAGAATGAACACGAAGGAGAAGATTCTTAGCGTAGCTTATGGTCGTGTGCACCTACTTGCCTCAGTCCTGTCAATGTTTTCCCAAGAGGACCTAATGGCAGAGGGGTGGCCCCAGGAAAGCTATCTGTGTAACAGAAGTCTCTCAGCTTCCTGAGGTACAATGGAAGATGCTGCAGTGAGCTTTGAAACAGATCCACACTGATACTGTTTTCTACCCTTTGCAATATTGACCTTGCAGGTTTCAGACACGGGGGGAGTCGCACTGGATATTTTTCTAATGAGACAAGCAGGCAGCGTCTGGCCAAACTACTGTCTCACTGCTCAGCAGGGCTTCCGCAGAGAGCTTAGAAATACTCAGATCTCTGAGGAGACCGAGTTCAACAAAAAGTTTTTTTTCTCGTGGATTCCCAGATGAACCAAAAAAAGTAGGAAAAAAAAGTACTGAGATATGGAAGACCTGGCTTCCCAGCAGCATACCTTGAGGCTAGCACCGAAAGGAAGTGCCCTGTCAGAGCAGTGCAACTGCCATCTACTCCAAAGATGCAGAATAGTGGTGGTGTTTACAGTCAACCACAAGGTTTGATAGCTGGTCCTGGAACCAATAAGTGACCCCCAAACAATCTTCCTTCATCCCAGCTGCATCTGTGTTGATGTGGGCAGAACATTCCTAGCACCCGCAGTCTGGATTGGTGGAGACTGACAGGAAAGATTGTTCTGAATGATGTGAATTAATCATTTGTAGTATTTAAAGAACCCCGGAAAACCCCTCAGGATGCCCAGACACATCTCTCTTTCCTTCTATGGATTTGTCCCCAAAACTTACGTCTCATAGATGTGCCCGTTTTCAACCCTCTCTTCCACGTAGGCCAGTGCTCGGACGTGCATTGGGGAATGAGGGAACGCAGCATGTATCCATGGCAGTCCGAAGACAGACAGTCCCGTGTTAATCAGAGCTACAAGGAGGAGGTCCCAGTGATAAGCTGTTCCTTTCACTAACCTGAAATAAACTCTAGTTAATAAAGTTTTTATGTGCACTCAACCATGTAGTAACAATGCTGCCCTTGCTACGACTGAGCTAGCATGTTCATTGATGGACACTGTGCATCTCAACGCACAGAATTTTACAGACCTCCTCTTTTATAGAGGCCAGTACATGAATTTGAAAGGTAATGAAAAAGTGATTGCTGCCGGGGGAGAGCAATCAGTTTGAAAGAACAACTGAATAGAGAAACATTTCCCATTATAAGAATGGTCTAGTCCTCAATTTCATCAGAATTTATTACTGTCATATTAAACAGGATACCTCAACTCATGCAAAATTAATATTACCATCAGATGTACGACTGTTCTCGCTGGAGTACTAGCAACAGCTATAGCAAGGGTTGCCAAAGCATTTTTCATTTTAAACTCCTGTTTTTAGTTGCTCATAAACTTTCATCCATCAAGTTGAAATTTTCCAGGCCTTGTTTTTTGATGCATTTCATGTGTGTGCCTGGTAAGTTAGCTACATGCTTAAACATTTACTAAAGGCCCGTAGGGGGGCCCACTCTGAGGCAAGACACCTTTAATCAGCAGCATCCATTGGGGTTATGTGCCTGCTTCCCCTATAGGCCAGCTTTGAGCAGGCACGTTCCCAGCTCACATCCTATTCTTCCACATTGCGAGAGCAGCACCTGAACACCTGAGGCTTCCTTTATTGTTTTCTTTCCCTATCTGCCCTTTTTGGATTTTCCCGTTAGCTTATACAAAAAAGTATTTCATTGCCTATGCCACTGTGGGCTTTTTTTCAAAGCCTAGATCCATCTGGCTACTTACTCTATCCTTGTTTCAGTCCCAACCTGGGATGTTGCCCTTAGGTTTTTTGATAAGTTTTTAAAGTATTCAGTTGACAGCAAGCAGACCACGGCCTGGGACCTGATTCAAGATATGTACAGCACGTACTCAATTTGAATAATGGGCAACATCAGATAAGTTATGCTGAAATTCAATGTATAGAACCACAGATGTAAGAGACAGTGAAGATTTATTAAGCCGTCTGTACATTGTCCAGTCAACCCATCATTTTTCTCTTCACTGATCACAGAATCATAGAAAAGCAGGGCTGGAAGGAACCTTGAGAGGTCATCTAGTCCACCCCCACATGGCCAACATCTTCATTAATGATCTGGATGATGGGATGGATTGCACCCTCAGCAAGTTCACGGATGACACTAAGCTGGGGGCAGAGGTGGATACGCTGGAGGGTAGGGATAGGTTCCAGAGTGACCTAGACAAATTGGAGTATTGGGCCAAAAGAAATCTGATGAGGTTCAACAAGGACAAGTGCAGAGTCCTGCACGAAGGAAGGAAGGAAGAATCCCATACACTGCTACAGGCTGGGGACTGACTGACTAAGTGGCAGTTCTGCAGAAAAGAACCTGGGGATTACAGTGGATGAGAAGCTGGATATGAGTCAGCAGTGTGCCCTTGTTGCCAAGAAGGCTAACGGCATATTGGGCTGCATTAGCAGGAGCATTGCCAGCAGATGGAGGGAAGTGATTATTCCTCTCTATTTGGCACTGGTGAGGTCACATCTGGAGTATTATGTCCAGTTTTGGGCCCCTCACTACAGAAAGGATGGTGACAAATTGGAGAGAGCCAGCAGAGGGCAATGAAAATGATTAGGGGGTTGGGACACATGACTTCTGAGGAGAGGCTGAGGGAACTGGGCTTATTTAGTCTGCAGAAGAGAAGAGTGAGGGGAGATTTGATAGCAGCCTTCAACTACCTGAAGGGGGGTTCCAAAGAGGATGGAGCTCGGCTGTTCTCAGTGGTGGCAGATGACAGAACAAGAAACAATGGTATCAAGTTGCAGTAGGGGACGTCAGGGTTGGATATGAGGAAACACTATTTCACTAGGAGGGTGGTGAAGCACTGGAATGGATTACCTGGGGAGGTGGTGGAATTTCCATCCTCAGAGGTTTTTAAGGCCTGGCTTGACAAAGCCCTGGCTGGGATGATTTAGTTGGGGTTGGCCCTGCTTTGAGCAGGGGATTAGACTAGATGACCTCCTGAGGTCTCCTCCAACCCTAATCTTCTGTGATCCTATGCTGAGGCAGGACCAGCTAGATCTAGATTTTAATTGGTAATGCTTTATCCAATCCAGTTTTGAAGAGTCTTGTAACTGAGCAATTCAATCTACTTTCAGTTGAGCAGCATCTTTTGCCTTTCTGTACCACAACAGAAAGGCTCCATTCCATTTGAAAAATACACTGATGTGGGAGTTAGCAGTTTGGCTCGGATATCGAAGGAAGAACCCAGTTACATACCCTTTAACTATAACCCTACTCAATACCAAAAGTCACCACATCACATGTGCTTCTAATGTCACATAGGCAGTAAACGACTCAAGAAATTCAATCAAGAAAATGGCAAAATGACCCATTTACAACTTACATTTATGCCAATCACTATTTAATTAAAGAGCTGCATCAATGAGAATAGAGGAGAATTTTCCAGCGGCACAGAGAAGAAATCCCAGAACACGCATAACCCAATTGTTTTGAGCCTGTCCATCTCTCTCTGCTTTCCTGTGCTAATGGTCCTTTATCAAATAAAGTGTGCGAAACAGAAAAAACACTAAAAAAAATTGTTATGCAAGAAAAAAAAACCCCTCCTATGTGTTACATTAGCAAAAAAAATTCCAATGAGAAAATGGTAGTTCCCGGGGGGGGATCCTATAAATTCACCCTTGATGCCATAGCTGATTGTAGTTGGTAGAAACATCAAAGGGAATATTTGAAGACTGTAGCTTCTTGTTTCCAAGCTAGTGCATAAATCAGAGCTTTTAGATAAAAGTGATGCTAGATTACACATACTGTCCTACTTTGAGCCTGACCTCCTTTGCTTCCATATTCTGAATTATATAGCGGCAAGCCAGCATAGTTCCAAATGCTCCTTTTTCAGTTTCAAAATTCTTTTAAATTAGCATAGTTGCAATACATGATGCAGTAGCTCTTTTTGGTTGATCTGCTCTTAGTTTAAAGAGAAATATTCACTGCATTCCAAACATCAAGAAACCACACGGCTGACCACATATCAAAATGGGAGGTGCACCCATTGACTTCAGAATAAATGAGATCATAAATGTAAAATCCATAAAATAAGAACAGCAAAGCAGCAGGGTGAGGTAACCAATCTCCAGAAGCTTTGTTCACTGCTCCAACGCAATGCCGGTTCTTTGTCTTTGTCAAAAGTCATAGGAGACTGCTTCTGAAGAGTCTTTCCAAAAACTGAAATGCTTTCTGACGATTCATTTTCTTAACAGAGGCTTGAAATAACCTTCTTTGTTCCAACAAACCCAATTTGAGAGGGTCTGACTATCTGGTCTCTCTAGACTAGTGGTTCTCAAAAACTTATTTGATTGCGCCCCTCTTGTTCATGTCTGTAGTAGTTTTTGCTCCCCCTCCCCATACCACACAAGTACATATACCGATTAAAATCAATCAATCATTAAACTCTCACTAAATATTAAAAACAGTAAGGCATCACTGATTCAAACAGAGCCATTTAAGTATATAGTGTATCGCTTTCCGGCCACTCAGCTCAGAAGGCTGCACTGCCACCAGCAGCAGCAGAGAAGTAAGGGTGACAATACCTTATTTCTTCTGCGCTGCTGCTGGTGGCGGCGCTGCCTTCAGAGCTGGGTGCCCAGCCAGAAGCCACTGCTCTCTGCTCTGCCTTCTCACACCCTCCCAGAATACATTCCAGGCCCCCCAGTTTGAGAACCTCTGCTTTAGACATTGGTGGCTTTGGAAGCTCCCAGGTAGGTTGAGTACTTGTTGGCCCAACAAACAAAATGGGTGGTAGCCACTCATCTTGCACCATGTAATCCCCAAATATAAATTTCTAGGAATAATGCCAGAGTCCACCTGGCACTATGGGTATGTTTACACTGCAGTTGGAAGGTGGGAATGCAGCACATGCAGAAATACCTGAGCTAGCTTTGATCTGTTTCTACAGCAAAGCTAGTTCGAGTAACAATGGTAGTATAGCCAAGAAGGCTAACGGCATTTTGGGCTGTGTAAGTAGGGGCATTGCCAGCAGATCGAGGGATGTGATCATTCCCCTCTATTCGGCATTGGTGAGGCCTCATCTGGAGTACTGTGTCCAGTTTTGGGCCCCACACTACAAGAAGGATGTGGAAAAATTGGAAAGAGTCCAGTGGAGGGCAACAAAAATGATTAGGGGGCTGGAGAACATGACTTATGAGGAGAGGCGGAGGGAACTGGGATTTTTTAGTCTGCAGAAGAGAAGAATGAGGCGGGATTTGATAGATGCTTTCAACTACCTGAAAGGGGTTTCCAAAGAGGATGGATCTAGACTGTTCTCAGTGGTACCAGATGACAGAACAAGGAGCAATGGTCTCAAGTTGCAGTGGGGGAGGTTTAGGTTGGATATTAGGAAAATCTTTTTCACTAGGAGGGTGGTGAAGCACTGGAATGGGTTCCCTAGGGAGGTGGTGGAATCTCCTTCCTTAGAGGTTTTTAAGGTCAGGCTTGACAAAGCCCTGGCTGGGATGATTTAGTTGGGGATTGGTCCTGCTTTGAGCAGGGGGTTGGACTAGATGACCTCCTGAGGTCCTTTCCAACCCTAATCTTCTATGATTCAAAGTAGCGCAGGCTGGCAGCTGCTCAAGCCCATACCCAGGGTCCTGGGCGGGCAGGGCTAGCCTGTGCTGCTGTAGCTTCACTGCTATTATTATTCAAGCTAACTTTGATCAAAACTAGCGCAAGTACAACGTTGTGTGCTGCAATCACATGTCCTGATTGCATGAAATCTGGTCTCACTCGTGAAATCTGGTCTCCAGCCACCCAGCTCTGAAGGCAGAATGGACAGCGGCAGCTGCTGGCTGGGTGCCCAGCTTTGAAGGCAGCACCGCTGCCGGCAGCAGCAAAAAAGTAAGGGTGGCAATGCCATAGCCCCTAATTGGCTTGAGACCTCCCCTTTTGGGGCGGGGCCCCCAGCTTGAGAAATGCTGCAGAGAAATCACACAGTTTTTGTGGGTCACTCACAACATAAAATAGCAAATTTCATGGATGTGTTACACGTGCAAAATTTGCTATTTATGCCGTGACCAACCTGCAAAAAAGGGTGTGATTTCTCCGCCATTTAAGCAGACCCCTACCTATGAAATCACTCCCAAAAGAACACATGGCTAGAGGCAGTAATTCTGGGACTGGCATAAAATATCCTTCCACGTATGAAGAATTTGGAGTCTTCCACATGTAAATATATAAGGGATACACAAACAGAGCTAGCAAGGTTGTGTAATTCAGTCCCAGTCCATCTTTACTCAGAACACTGTAATATAGTACTGAAGTGAAATTATCTCAGGGCTTCTCTACATGAACAATTAGACTGCTGCAAGCAGGAGTGTGAATCTACGGGGCGCTCTCCATATGTACCCTGCTGACATGCCTTAACAGTTCATTAATGCTCTTTGAGCTAGTCCCCTTTCAAAGGTTTCAGAGTAGCAGCCGTGTTAGTCTGTAGCCACAAAAAGAACAGGAGTACTTGTGGCACCGTAGAGACTAACACATTTATTTGAGCGGCCTCTTACAGTTGGTATGGCTACTTCCACCTTTCCATGTCCTCTGTATGTATAAATATCTTCTTGCTGTATGTTCCAGGCTATGCATCCGATGAACTGGGCTGTAGCCCACGAAAGCTTATACTCAAATAAATTTGTTAGTCTCTAAGGTGCCACAAGTACTCCTGTTCTTTTTCCCATTTCAAAGAGGACTGGGTCAAAGAAGTCTATTCAACTGTTAGCAAGCATTAGCAGGGTGCACAAGGATAGTTCAAGGCTAGGGCTGGGTAGATTCACTGCCCCGGTCTCATTGTTCACATAGAGGAGCCCTAAGAAGAACTCCCCTGATTTGGAAAGAAAGGGATTAACAATTTTACCTGTTCTCTGGAGCATTTGTGAGTGATGCCACTATATTCTGCTCTATGAAGAAAAGCATCGACAGAAGGAACCCCAGGCCCATGGCACTCATTACAGAGCCAATTGAGAGAGATTGGATTGGGGCCAGCACGAATAAACTCTCAGATGGGTTGTAGTTAAATTTGGACACTGTAAACACACAGGAAAAAAAAAGTGTTAAAGAGGCATCCTACTGTTTTCTAGCTACCTGCATGAAGCAAACTTATGTTCTAGCCCAACCACAAGTTATTGGCTTTGATACAGGTTCCACGGGTTCTCTGGCCTGCATTATGCAGGAGGTCAGGCAAGAGGATCATAATGGCCCCTTCTTGTGCTGGAGTCTATAAATCTACTGTTTTAAAAAAATATATTTATCACTCTAGCCCTGACTGATAACGGCTACTCAGGCTGCAATTTTTATTTTATAAGGAGATGAAAATTTTAATCGAGGACAATGCAACAAAAAAACCAACAAACAAAAAAAACCCCACTCTTATCATAGACATTGGATTTTACAGCACGTTTCTGGATCTGAAATAATTACAAATAATTTGCCATCTTCATCGTGCAGTCTTACTTCATAGTTAATTTGCTGGTATAGGCATTTTAAAATACTCTCAACACCAAATGAGCTGCACAATGGGTTTTAGCATAATACGGGGCTGGCTTCAGCTGGTGACAAGAAATCCATCGTCACTAAGGGAAAGATCACACGCTACAATTCACCACTTCTCAATCCAGTTGGATGGAGTGAGAGTCACACCAAAAGTGCCACTTCTTATTTACTTCCATACACTTCCTCACATCGTCCTCTCACGTCATCACAGGTCAATGCAATTCCTGTCCCTATTCTCTCTTCCTGATATGGAAAAGCTGATCCGTCTGTCCAATGAATGGTGTATCATTGTTAGACTTCCTTGTGTATCTTAGAATCACCCAGATGCTTTGGACCATTACACTTTTAATTAGGAAAATATAAAGAGGAGACTAAAAGAACAGGCCGAGATCATCAACACCACATCTGTACAGCTGACACCAACCCTTCCTGCCTCCTAATTGCCCTGCCCTTTTGTTCGGTATGAGAATAATAGGATCAACTCTTTCTAACAGCAGATGCACATTTTAATGACATTCAAATGAAATGACAAACTTAAATAATGCACTGAGAAAAACTATAGGCAACTGTTTGATTTGGTGTTTGCATAAATTAACTTTTATTGACGAATTGGAGGCATAGTTATGCATGTGTAGGCATGTATTTGAGACAATATACTGAAGAACTTTTGTATTTTTATGTTAATGTTCTTTGCAATAAACTTGTTTTCTTTTTTCATTCCATCTTAAGCGCCTTTCCCCTGGTAATTTGGAAGAGTAAACAAGCGGACTTACTTTCTATTTCCTTGAAGAAGTAGGAGCCTACGATGGAGAAGGTTAGAACGGATATGGGTAAGGCACAGTCGGACAGGATTTCGCGGACCCTTGCATGCAAATAGGGGCTGCAATTATAAAAAACAACAACAACAACAACAACTTTCCATTAGCATCCACCATACTCAGTTTTCCCGCTACGACGGTAACGGAGTAATCATTCAAACCACAGGCTCTATACCGAATGCTACTTCAGCCCAGTGCTGCTACTGTTAATTCTTCACTCCCAATATTATTTTAAAAAGTCCTTAATGACGTAATGTACCTACCAGTTTTCTGAAAGCTAAAACAGTCGAATCTCCGTTTATGGGAAATGTAGGCTCTGAAGTTTGATGAAAATCACAGTGAAATCCAAAACGGAACAAAATTGAAGATTCAGGCTTTGAAAAACATGCACAGTCCTCAAGGGCTGACAGCTAGCTGTTATTTCCAGGCCCCCCCCGCAAAGCGGCTTGTGTCTGCAATTTCCAGCTCCAGTACTTTTCCTTCTTTAACCATTCAAATAAGAGATTTGTCAAAGACTCCAAAAGGAGTTAAGGCTCCCAATTCCCATGGACTCTGAGAGAGAGTTGGATGCCCAGCTAACTGCCTTTTGTGCTTTTGGAGGAAAGTGAGATGAAGTACCTTTCCAGGAAATTATCATTTACAATATGGGAGTATATTTCTAAAAAGTTACCCCTTTTCCAGATCATTTAGAAAACAGTGAAGTGGCAAAATTTGCCAATCATACAGTCCGGAGTAGACTGAGGCGTTACAAAGGGATCTCACAAAACTGGGTGACTGGGCAACAAAATGGCAGCAGAAAGTCAATGTTGATAAAGGCAAAGTAATGCACATTGGAAAATAATCCCTACAAAATGATGGGGTCTATATTAGTTGTTACCACTCAAGAAAGATCTTGGAGTCACTGTGGAGAGTTCTCTGAAAACATCCACTCAATGTGCAGTGGCAGCCAAAAGGCTAACAGAACGTTAGGAGACATTAGGAAAGGGATAGATAATAAGTCAGAAAATATTATAATATAAATCCATGGTACATCCACACCTTGAATACTGTGTAGTTCTGGTCACCCCTTCTCCAGCAAGATATATTAGAATTGGAAAAGGTACAGAGAAGAGCAACAAAGATGATTGGGGGGATGGATCAGCTTCCGTACGAGGAGAGATTAAAAAGACTGGGACTTTTAAGCTTGGAAAAATGACGAGTGAGGGCAATATTATACTGGTCTATAAAATCATGAGTGGTGTGGAGAAAGTGAATAGGGAAGTGTTATTTACCCCTTCCCATAACGCAAGAACCAGGGGTCACCCAATGAAGTTAATAGGCAGGAGGTTTAAAACAAACAAAAGGAAGTACTGCTTCACACAAGACACTGTGGAACTTGTTGCCAGAGGATGTTGTGAAGGCCAAAACACAATGGGTTTAAAAAAAATCAATTAGATACGTTCATGGAGAATAGGTCTGTCAATGGCTATTAGCAAAGATGGTCAGGGACGCAACCCCGTGCTCTGGTTGTCCCTAGCTTGATTGCCAGAAGCTGAGAGTGGACAACAGTGGACAATCACTCAGTGATGACCTGTTCTGTTCACTGCCTCTGCAGCACCTGGCATTGGCCACCAATGGAAGACAGGATACTGGGCTAGATGGACCACTGGTCTGACCCAGAGTGGCCATTCCTATGAGATTAACTGGGTTTTAGCCATGCACCCTCCAAGAGAGGGAAAGGAAGCTTATATGACTGTCACAACACTTTCAAAATCTACTAATGTCTTAAAATGCCCAGCCAGATATGGAAGCATGTCTTCCACTGATTAAACAAGATTTACTTCGCGTTTGCCTATTCGCTGAGCCAAGCAACGGCGTTCGTAGTGGCCAAGTGGAGCTCTCGGAGCCCACCGCTGAATTTGGTTAGCAGGCACTGCGTGACAACTTGTATCGCTGTTTGATCTGCGCCACAGCTGCAGGTGACTGGGATTTTCCAGATTGCCAGCCAAATTAAGGCCTGTTCTTGTTCCCACTGAAGTCAATGGCAAAACTCCCACTAACTTCGCTAGGGGTATGTCTACACTGCAATTAAAAAACCCCGGCTGGCCCAGGCCAGCTAGCTTGGACTCGAGGGCTCAGGCTAAGGGGCTGTTTAATTGCAGTGAAGATGTTCGGGCTCACACTGGAGCCCAGTCTCTAGAACCCTGCAAGGTGGGAGAATCCCAGAGGTTGGGCTGCAGCCTGATGTCTACACCATTATTAAATGGGCCTTTAGCCCGAGCCTTGGAAGTCCAAGTCAGCTGGCCTGGACCAGCCACAGGTGTCTATTTGCAATGTAGACAGACCCTAGACTCAAGATTGGGATTTGAATCTGTAGAATGAACTCTAAGGCTGAAGTAACTCACCTTTTCTTAAATTGATAAAGCGTATGACCAAGCCAAAGGGTTCCCAGCATCAACATGAGACTAAGGACAGCAGTTTCACGTCCATAATGCACGACCTCATTCATGCCCGTCTGATTCTCCAGTGACACAGACCTGCTCACTGATGAATTCATCAAGAAGGTGGTATTGATGCTGAGGCTTGGAATTACATCAGCACGTGTATTTTCCAAGTAACTGTCTCCTTGGTGCTCATGGTAGTAATATTTCTTAAAAACTGCACAAAACAACAAATAGGCAAATGTTAGGATAGGTCTGTAACAATTCAAAGCAACTTGAGCTTGCAGTATTATTAACTTTCACAGTGTAGTTTCTCTTGATCCGTAGTCACATAGGCACCAATTCTGTGGGTACGCCGGGGCTGGAGCACCCACGGGGGAAAAAAAATAGCGATCAGCTCCTCTCCCTCCCTCCCAGTGCCTCCCGCCCCACACAGATCAGCTGTTCAGCAGCATGCAGGAGGGACTGGGGGGGAAGGGGAGGAGCGAGGGTGGGGTGCACTTGGGGGAGGAGACGGAATGGGGCAGGAAGAGGCAGAGTGAGGGTGGGGCTCGGGGAAAGTGGTGGAGTGGGGGCAAGGCCTGGGGTGGAGCGAGAGTCGAGCACGTCCCCCCGGGAACACAGGAACTCGGCGTCTGTGCATAGTCTAGTACTCTAATGGCACCATTCACACTACTGAAGGTAAGAGAAACCAGATTATTAGTTTATACTTCAGTTGTGCACGAAACGTAGCTTGTTTTATAAATTTAAGAAAATAGTTAGGCCATTTGTAAGTTACAGTACAGAAATGTAAGTCCGCCCCTCCCCATCCTCATATTGTTACCTGGTTTTGCTCCATGCACTGAATCATGGCTTTAAATGTAAAGAAGTAAACTGTGGCAATTTCTTGCTCTAGTATGCTAAAAATATGCACTTGCTAACAACTGAAAACATCCAAGGTAGAGTATACTCAGGAAAGTTACTATTATGAACATGCAGTAAGTACTTTCCTACACTCACTAGTGCAAAGATGTCCAAGTTCGGTTTTATAGGACAGACAAATTAACTGGGAGATAATACATTTGTAAACATGCTCCACATCCGAATTTGCAAAATGCATTGAGATATTATGGTTTATCAGGCCTACCATAACTAGCTTAAAAATTTACCTCAATAAATGATAAACGCAAACAGGCCTGCTATAACTATCCAAGCTAAATACCCTATAATACTTCATAAGGTCCATAAAATACATAGTGAGATAATCTACATTAAAGAGACTGCAGCTAAATATTGATAGAACAAAGTAGCTGCTGTAAATATGCTATTCCATTCTATAATTAAAATCAAAATAGTATTAGAGGAATACTTCTGGAAGGTTTGGTCCTGGATGGGTCTGACCATACTTGATGGAAGATGCCCTGGTCTCAGATGATGTGATGAGCAAGAGTCTGGGAAACTCATTAGTCAAAGAGGCAGCCTGGAAAGGGTAGTGGGCGAAGAGGAAGATAAAAGACAGCAACCAGCCAGGAGGAGAGGAGCAATGGAAAAGGAAGTCAATTAAGGGGAGAGATACGTGCCAGCCACTGTGGAGAAAGTCAGCCAGCAAAAGTGGAACGGGACTTAGGAGACCTTGAAGTTGCGTGTCAACCTGGCTGAAATGTTTTCGTCAAAATATTTTTTAGCGTTTGTAAAGTTTTTTTTTTTTTTTTTTTTTAAATGATAAACATTTTGGCAGACATTTTTCTCAAAACTTTCCCGGGTTGATGAAAACCCAGAAAATGAAAATTTTGGGGTGATATTTTGGTTTCCAGAAACTGAACGTTTTTCCTGAAAATGGTTTTTAAAAACCACATTTTTTTTCCAGTTTTATGTTTCGTTTTTTCCACAAAAACTATAAAGTTTTTATAGAAAAAAAAATCCCGTGAAATAGAATTGACATTTTTTGACCAGCTCTACTTCCATAGGAGCATGGAGCTAACTTTTAATTTCTGCTTGAGAGCCTACCCAAATGTTGTTATGACCCTTTTAACTACACTGCCATTTTAATGACTCCCAGGTTAATACTATTGCTATTACAATAGTGCCTTGGGGCACCAGACAAAGAACAGGACTCCACTGCGCTGGGCACTACTGCACAAACAGGCAGTAAAAAGATTTCCTAAAGAGTTGACAATCTAGATTATAAAATGCAATAGGTGGATAAATAAATTAATGGTCGTATGTCCTAGAACTGGAAGGGACCTTGAAAGGTCATGGAGTCCAGCCCCCTGCCTTCATTAGTAGGACCAAGTACTGATTTTGCCCCAGATCCCTAAGTGGCCCCCTCAAGGATTGAACTCACAAGCCTGGGTTTAGCAGGCCAGTGCTCAAACCACTGAGCTATCCCTCCTCTCCAGACAAAGGAGTGGATAAGTGATAATTGTAAAGCAAGCAAATAGTTGTGCAATAACAAAGGTCTCAGTTTGCTACCTGGATGTGTATTTTTAAAATAAGTTTAATTACTCAGGCTACAACTAGCATATTAAAAAAAATCAAATAATTTGCATAATTCATGTTCTATCTGTTAAATTTCTCAGATTTGACACTGAACATTTTGCTTTTGTTGCTAGAATGACTTTCACTGTCAGTTTCAGTGAGGTTCTAATGCAATTACACAATTCTGCAATGCAGCAAACACGGCAGGAGAATATTTATTACAATAAGTTTCTCTTGGACTATTATTACTTTTCTAGTGGCTTTAGGTTAATGCATACCTTATTTTTCTGAGGAACAGCATTTTGGGCAAAAATTGTCTTGCTAGTTTTCTTTTAATAATAAAGGCCAACCCTTTGGATTGGATGATTCTGAAATTTTGAACCATCCCTGGAATTTTCCTAAAGTAGAGGTCTGAAATCTGATTGGATAACGTACTATCTAGCCATTATATATCCCTGCAATGCCTAGTACAGCCAGAAGTCAATGCCAGTGATCTCTCAGGCACATTGCACGATGACGACTTCAGAAACTCAGCAGGAAAGCTATCACAAAGGTATTAAATAATACCTCGATTATAACAACACTTGGCATTTCAATAGCACATCTCCTCTGAGGATCTCAGAATATTCTATTGCATTAATTACACTTGCAACACCCCTGTAAAGTAGATATTGTTATGCCCATTTTACAGATAGGTAAACTGAGGCACAGAGTGCTGAAATGACTGGGCAGAAAGTCAGTGCTGGAGTTGTAAACAGAACCCAGAAGTTTTGACCCGCAGTCTACTGCTCTGACCATTAAAGGACACTCCCAATAATAGCAATGGCAATAATTCAGGAGGATTAATAGCCGGCTGGGGTTAAAGATCTCTAACAGCCTCAATTATTCCCAACTGACTGTTAACCCGATGGAAATAAACACTCTTTGCTTTGATGACGACTGACAAGGTTCAGATCCAAAAAAAAGAAAAAAAGGCCAAGAAATTCAAAATAATGCTGACATTTTAAGTCATCCTGTTGGTCTAGTTACCATAGATGTTCTGGGAACAGTAAGTGATTTCACATTCGGCACTACAGTAATACCTGAACACAACAGAGTAGGTTTAGAATGGAGCATAGATCTTAACATAAATGTCAAGACTGTTACTGATTTGTGTCACTTCACATTTTACTTAAATGTAGCAGTTAGATTATATGTATTCACTTTGGATTAAATGTTGGGGAAATGTAGCTGATTTTTCATCCGTATTTTACTTATTGTAATGGGTGTGCTGATTGGAATGATTGGCAGTTGGATAGATCAGTCTGCAATGTAACAAGGATTTAGTGTTTAATATTCAGTTGCTGCATGCTAAGCAGTCTTTTCAGAGACACTACAGAACAGCCAGGTTCTTTGCACAAATTCAATAGAGAAAACACTTTAAACTAGCAGGTTGTAGGCTTTAAACTGAACTGTCCCAGAAGGCAGTTTAATGTCTAGTTCCTCTGTTCCCTCTACTTCACCTTTGTTGTTTGCTTCAGCTGTTACAGAACCGTTTCCTGTAGAGTGCAAATGTCAAGATCAAACAGAAGCATGGCTTAGGTGGTTGGGCCATGAGTTGAAAACAACTGTCACTAGGATAGTAAGAAGAATGCATGTGTTTGATATGTGATAATACCCCTCTCTCTAATTTCCGGCATATTTTATATATGCAAAGCATATATAAAAGCAACATGGCTTAGCAAATTAAGGAACAAACATGAGCTTCCTTGGGAGCAGTGCGTTGCTGGATGCACTCCCTGACAGAATGCTTTTAGGGTAGCAGGAATGGCATAGCAGCGTAGAGTCTGCCAGCTGATGTGTATGCAACCTGCCAGCATGCAGAAAATCTTCTGATCTCCCGAGCCACATGACTACTGGAGTACTGTGTCCAGTTTTAGGCCCCACACTACAAGGAGGATGTTGAAAAATTGGAAAGAGTCCAGCGGAGGGCAACAAAAATGATTAGGGGGCCGGGGCACATGACTTATGAGAAGTCGCTGAGGGAACTGGGATTATTTAGTCTGCAGAAGAGAAGAATGTGGGGGGATTTGATAGCTGCTTTCAACTACCTGAAGGGGGGTTCCAAAGAGGATGGATCTAGACTGTTCTCAGTGGTGGCAGATGACAGAACAAGGAGTAATGGTCTCAAGTTGCAGTGGGGGAGGTTTAGTGGATATTAGGAAAAAACTTTTTCATTAGGAGGGTGGTGAAGCACTGGAATGGGTTACCTAGGGAGATGGTGAAATCTCCTTCCTTAGAGGTTTTTAAGGTCAGGCTTGACGAAGCCCTGGCTGGGATGATTTAGATGGGGATTGGTCCTGTTTTGAGCAGGGGGTTGGACTAGATGACCTCCTGAGGTCCCTTCCAACCCTGATATTCCATGATTCTATGACTGTCCCTCAATAATAAGATAGGCAAAAACTGACATAGAAAAGTCAAGTGTTTTGCTGGGTTTATGGAGCAAGCAGGAGTCAGGATTAGAACTCTGGAGCCCCTGGATACAGGTCCTGTAGTCCGGAGTCCATGCAGCCTCTCATAACCCCTGGGTATCATCACTCTGTCAGTCCACAGGAGAATTTACAAAGGATTAAAAGGGTCTGTGAAAGCCTCATCTCAGTGATTCTGCCCACACCCTTCCAACGTTCAATATGGTATACTGGACACACGTGTGGCTTTTTCATACTGTAGTAAAATCAACCCATCTCAGAGGGGGGATAGCAATGGTGAACCTAAATATCCAAGGAGACGGGGAGACAGATATTTGGAAGAGTGTAACAGGCTGTACTTAGAAAAGCCAGTAGTACTCATGGAGTTTGGCAGTGAGGAGCATGGCAGTTTTAAACACATTCTAATGCAGAACGTCCTCTAATGTGAAAGCGCTGTGCTCCTAAACTCCCATGGCCCATGCTGAAAGCTGACCTTGGGATGTCTACAACTGTTATAGGTGGGGCTGGTAGCACTGCCCAATATTAAATTTGCCTGATACCACCCCATAATAAGACTCTGGTTTCAGCTGATTATAAAAAACTTTGCCAAATGTTAACCATTGGGGCGGAAGTTTTAATTGTTGCTTGTCCGCATCAGGCTGATTTGGAAAATTTCAGCCAAAATGGTTCTGAGAATGAGGCTGGGGGGAAAATACATTTTGTTGAACATTTACTTTGAGAAGCTCTAGTGCCCCCATGCTTTGGAGCAAGGACTTGAAGTTTGGCAAAGGATGTGCCTTTTGGCATCCCTGGGAAAATCTGCCTAAATTTGGCCAAAGTATAAGCCATTTAAAAACTGCAGTTCACATGTGCTAAGTTGAAATTTGTTTCTGCTTTGCATATAAATTCCCTGAAGATTCTGTCTGCATTGGGCATGCTCCAGCCAGGGGGTGAGCAGGGCTTTCCCTGCAATTCTAGTTCTGGGCTGCTGTGGACCAAGCGTTCAACTTGAGAGCAGGGAACATGCCTTTCCTATACAGTCAGTGTCCCCTCTCCCGCGCTGAGCCCAGACAACATGGAGGAGGACGCTGCGTGCTTTGAACACAGAAGGAACAAGAGACAGACCTGCAAGGGAGGGAGCAGAGGGAGTAGACTGGGACCAGAGGCTGGCAGGGAGAATTGGGAGTGGGGGGGTTGGAGACAAACAGAAAACGAAGGAGGGAGAGAGAGAGAGAGACTGGGAACCAGTGGGCTGGGATGGCAGACTGGAACTGGGAGCGGCTGGTCAAGGACCCTGGGAGTATCTATCAGTGTATCCCATGGGGAGGAGCCAGGGGAAGAAATGGTATTGGCTGGGCAAAGTCACTGGACAAGAAACTGAATGGATAACAGCACAGATTGGATGCGGAGCTCAGAGAGGGAGACTGGGACTGGAAGCAAGCAGGGATGGGGAATGTGGTCAGAAGAGGGGATGACTGGAGGCTGGGAAGAGACAGATTGGATGAGGAGCTGGTGGGGAGGGAAAACTCCAAAGGGGTGAGACTAGGATTTACTGGGCAAGGAGACTGGCTTGGGATGAGAAGCGTGAGGAGTGGAGACTGGGACTGGTTAGATGAGGGGATGGGAAGCAAGGGATGGGGAAGCAACAGAGAGTCCTGTGGCACCTTTAAGACTAACAGATGTATTGGCGCATAAGCTTTCGTGGGTGACTGCCTACTTCGTCGGATGCATGTCTGGGGATGGGGGATGGGGAAGAAACAGTAGGACAAGAGAGGACAAAAAGGGCAGAAGGGTCTGTGCCCATTAGATCACTTCCCCCCAGTGCCTGGAATGGAACCTAGGATTCATGACTCATCATTCCTCTGCTGTCAGCAAATATCCGTGAACCCCCTTTTAGTTCTGATCCACAGATGATGACAGCGACTACTATCGGTTACTCCATTAGTTCAAGTAGCAGAGGTGGTTGGGTTTTTTTGTTTTAATTTTTAATGGGGGCGAGTGTTGTACAGGTCTCGAGGGTGTCCTGCATAGAACTGGAGTCTATCCCTAAATCTGCCAGAGTTTGTGTGTGATGCTAGTCAAGTCACTTACAACCAGACATGCCACAGGTGATCACTAATTGCATGTTCCTCATTTGCTGGGTGATCCGCTTGAGACCCTAGAGTCTGATTTGCAGAAGTGCTGAGTACTCACAGCTGCAATGGACATCAATGGGAGCTGAGCGTTCAACACCGAAATGCTGTGAAATGCTCTGAAAAATCAGGTCCTAGGCATGAAATTGGGCACCCCAAAATAGTGGATACTTTGGACCTCAATCTCTGCATACCTCAGTTCCTCATCTGTAAAATGGGGGTAGAACTCTTTAATTAACGTTTGTGAAGCACTCAGAAACTACTAAAAAGAACAGGAGTACTTGTGGCACCTTAGAGACTAACAAGTTTATTAGAGCATAAGCTTTTGTGGACTACAGCCCACTTCTTCGGATGCATACAGAGTGCTTATGCTCTAATAAATTTGGTAGTCTCTAAGGTGCCACAAGTACTCCTGTTCTTTTTGCGGATACAGACTAACACGGCTGCTACTCAGAAACTACTGTTATCAGCACCATAGAAAATGGTAAGTTAATAATTCGGTCTTCAGAGCAGGTTGAATAGTGTGCAGTAAATAAGGCCTGGGGCCACACATTGTACAATGAGGAGAAAAAATACGGAAGAGCTCATCTTTGAGTGAGCACAACCCATCCTGTGCTCTGAATTAGGCCGGGGTCCTATCGATAAAGTAGTCCGTGGTCATGCAATTGAAGACTGTATCATAATGCATGTGCACAAGGGGCCAAATTAACATTGCTCAAGCAACCCTAATTCTGGCATTTCCTAACTTTTCAGTGCTTGATTTTGCAGCCTGAATAATGTTTTTTTAAGTACTTTTTGAGTGTACAATAAAGAGCAGAGCCTGCAGGTTCTAAGAACTACAAATCACACCATGGGACCACCTTAATTATAAAGGATTCAAGGCAGCAGAACTCAAAACCCCTTTCGCCCTGTTAGTATCAGGACAAAAAAAAAAAAAAAAAAAGACGGGGTGGGGGGTAGGAGAGAGGGAGGGTAATAACATCAGCTAATCCCTCATTCAAAGGGTTTTCAAGGCAAGGCAAAAGGAACACTGCCTTTAGCATGCAGTTTCTGCAAGGAGCTTTCATCTTTTTCACTAGGAGGGTGGTGAAGCACTGGAATGCGTTAACTAGGGAGGTGGTGGAATCTCCATCCTCAGAGGTTTTTAAGGCCCATCTTGACAATGCCCTGGCTGGGATGATTTAGTGGGTGTTGGTCCTGCTTTGAGCAGGGGATTGGACTAGATGACTTCCTGAGATCTCTTCCAACCCTAATCTTCTATGATTCTCTCTTGTTCATGCCCCATCCTGTTGCCTGCGTCTGGTGAAGGTAAAGACTGCAGGAGCTTTGTTACGCTTACCCAAGGTCAAACACTGCAGAGGTGTACAGCAGAGAAACCATGAACTGTGACTGGTTTGACAGAGAGACCAGAAACGCTTCCTTTAGGTGCATCCTGACAGGCATTTGCTGCAAACCTGTATGTTTCCCTTTAAGGGAGCTGGACTGGTATGACAGCTCATTCTGAAGTCATCTGTGTGGGTCTCCCTCCGTATATGGCCACAGGCGGAGGGTCTTTATGTTACCCAGCAGTCTTGTGGTGCCTTGTGTATAGAGGGCTCTGGGGCACTGCGCAGTTAAGGTCTGGCTGGAGGTGAACCCTGGCGATTTTCAGAGGGGCTGTGCTCGACCTGCTCCACATAGCGCAATCTAAACAGTACCTAGTTTGCATTGAGGATGTCCTGTTTCAAACAGGACTAAGTTAATGTGCTCTAGGTACCTTTTAGAGTGCACCAGCAGGATCTACACAGGGCAGCCAGAGCACAACGCTTTAGAGCACTCTGCATTTTACATCCCTTCAGCCCGGGCATAGACTGCAAGGACCAGCTTTCACATAGTCCAGTACAACTGACGTGGGCTCCAGAGCCCAGGTTGCTTACTCAAAGGGTTAAGGATTTTTCCCCACCCTGTTATGCCCCACTTGCCCCAAAGTTCACTGTGCTATTGATGGCGAAGGGAGGATGAATCTAAAATGATGGCGAATTTTTGTTGAACAGAGCTTTGAAAGAGAAACGAAACAGTTCAGTAAAATGTACGTGGGTGGCAGGAAGCAAACATTTCTACAGAGTCATTAAACTGCACCTTCTCCTTTCGATTTTAGTCTCTGATCCTAACAGAACAGCTGAAACAAGAGCGTCTATAAACAGCCTACATATCCAAAATAAAACCTTGTCATGAATCATCTTCCCATCAACACAGTTTAGAAAAACTGAAGACCCTTAATGAATACTTAATAGACAACAAATGCTGTGTATACTGCAAATCACATTTTGCTGGGAGTTCTATAGCATGGTTTGCATTGAAAAGAAACTGAATTTATGGTAGGAATCTAGTTACTGTCTTTCTACAGTAAAACTAAGCGTGGATCAGAACTGAAAAATACCACCTTCTTTCAGTGCTTACCTTTAATAATCCCTTTGAGTGCATCAAGCACAAATGTGATCGATATAAAAAGTGCAATGATTTCTTCTGTTGATCTACAAAAAAAAATAAAAAAGCTCCCATGGATTAATATGGTCAGAGTGACAGTCTGAATACCCCCCAATATATTAATAAACTTGTTATTTTATGAGGCAAGTGCACAGATTTTAGTTAAACACTGATTTGGGTGATAGAACTAGCAAGTCTTGAAAACATCTTGCAAACAGAAGTACTAAAAACTGGAATGAGCACATACTGTCCAAAACCAAAACTATATATTCTCAGTTGAGAGTATTCTAGTTTTGTAACACAGATCTTGTTTACATGACATTTAGTTTGCTGAACGTGGGGGTACGAATCTATAGCGCACCACCATTCTGAAGATTAACGGTCCCTGCAGACCCTGCTGATGCATATTAACCGTTCATTAATGTGCTTTGATCTAGTCCTCTTTGAAATAGGACTAGATCAAAGCTCGTTAATGAACCGTTAATGCACATCAGCAAGGTCCACATGGAAAATCAGTCCATGACAGAGTAGCTTGGGTTCAGTTCATACCCCAGCTTGCTGCAAACTAATTGTTCATGTAGACAAGCCCATAGATTTTATAGCAAGTTCCCAATTAGGAACTTCTGGAACGTATGATTTTCTGTTTGCTGAATAATATAATCAAAATGGGACTTCCCTTGAAAAAAAGGAAGAGGTACCTTTTAAAGAGCTTCATTACAAGACTGAAGTTAAAGAGAGAATACAGCACAAGGAAAAAACTGTTCCACAGTCCAATCCAGGCGTAGAAAGCACTAAAATCCAAGCTGTAGTCATCACAGATCCCCCGGATCACTGCAACAACAGTAAAACATTCGGTGGTGGATTCATGTTTTTAAGATTTTATAGCTAAACCATTCAGATTTATTGAGTTTAAGGTCACAAGGGACCATTAGATCACCAAGTCTGACCTGTATGTCACAGGCCATTACATTTCATCCAGTTACCCTTGTACTGAGCCCAATAACTTGTATTTGGCTAAAGCACTAATTCGTTCAAATGCAATGAACGGGCAATAGTTTCGACTCCATCTGTCAACACTATGGACTGTTCCAAATCTAAAGGGAGGTTTAACGCCCACAGGAAAGGAAGGGAAAGAGAGAGAGAGAGAGAGAGAGAGAGACAGACAGAGAGAGAGGTCCTGCATTACATATCTTGACCATTTGGCTGCTGTTGAATTTTCTAGGTACCGTGTAACCAAATCTGATAGAGCACATCTGAACATCCGATTGGTTCTTGTTAATGAGCATTGGTAGCTCAGCACAAGCAGAGGACCAGTCAAAACAGTATTAACATAATGTCAGTACCAATATTTAAAGAATGATACCGGGGGGGGGGGAGGAGGGAGGGGAGGGAAAGACTGTTCAAATGTTTCTTTTGAAGGTAGCCAAGTAGTAAGTATCTCTCTAGTGGAGAGAGAAGCCACCAAACCACCCCACTGTAATTTGACTTATTGGACCTATAATGCAAATGCTGGTGGATCCAACTACCCTGTACCTTCAGCTTAAAAAAAAAAAAAAAAAACAAAAAGGAAACTACTCTCACTGGTTAGCCATTGCTGAAAATCCACTCATCACACCGGATCAGGACTATATATTAAGGATGCATATTGCAGTCCCCGATCCTCAATGCCTACAAATATTTATTCCCAAGTGAGAACAAAAAACATCCCATGGAAATTCAATTTTATTCTCATAAACAAAAAAAACTGTATAGTTTTTTCCATTTAGAAATCTCACTGAAACAACACTCCCTAAATCCCTTTTGCAGGGCTGAAAGCAGGTCTGTAACGTTTAGCTTTGTGTAGCTGTAGGCCTAGGATAGATTTACTTAGTGCAGCTCTAAAGAATGCAAGGCTCTCCGAGTGTGTCATCTCACCGATTCTGAGTGCAGTATGTTCTCCTCCATCCGCAATATGCTTTGGTAAACTTACCATTGATGTACAAGGCTAAAGGAGCCGTGGTTAAGAGCACAACTAGAGGCTGCCCTGAAAACAGAGCATAAAGAAGTCCACCGATACACTGGCCAACAATTGTCTTCTGCACATCTAAAAATAATGAAAAAGTGTCTTTTTGAAGACCAAGTATTTACAAATGATCAGCTAGATTATTATTGCACTAATGTAAACCACCCAAGTCATGAATGCTGGCCACTAACAGCACATACTGAGAGCAAGACTATTCAAACAAGGGACTACCCACAGATAGCAGTTAATACACAAAGGGCACAATCATTACTAGGGAATTCAAATCGATGGTACATAACCAAACTTACATTAATAGTCTAAAGGGAGACTTGGGATCCCAGGCAACTGCCCTTTCACATGTGGAGCAGAGGGATTTTTTTTAAAGCAGTGAGTCTCAAACTTATTTGATTCCATCCCCCTTCTTTGTGTCTGTAATTGTTTGTGCCCCCCTTCCACACACACACACACACACACACACACACACACACTACGTT